CTGGGTGAATTTTTAAGCTGTTGAGTTTCTGATGAATTTGATTGTGATCTGTGAATGTTACTGAAGAGTGTCCTCGTTGAACCTACCAGTGGAAACGCTGGAATTGGATTAGCGTCTATGGCTGCAGCCAAGGGTTACAGGCTTATTATCACAATGCCAGCTTCGATGAGTGTTGAAAGAAGAATCATTCTCAGAGCTTTTGGAGCTGAGTTGGTTCTTACGGATCCAGCTAGGGGCATGAAGGGTGCTGTGCAGAAGGCTGAGGAGATTTTAGCTAAGACACCTGATGCATACATGCTCCAGCAGTTTGAAAATCCTGCCAATCCTAAGGTATTTTCTTAATTTACCTTTTAGTGGTGCAGTTGTTGGTTGGAAATGTATAATAAACTAATATCTGACAATTTTATGTAGATAAATTATGAGACAACTGGACCAGAGGTATGGAAAGGCACAGATGGAAAAATTGATGCATTTGTTTCTGGGATAGGTACTGGTGGTACCATAACAGGTGCAGGCAAATATCTTAGAGAGCAGAACCCCAATATCAAGGTAATGAGCTCTCATTGTGGATGTTAATTTGCTATAGGATTTGTTAATGTGAATCTTACTCATACTAAGAAATAATTTGCTATAAGATTTGTTGACATGTGTCTTATGCAGTCTAAGAAATTAAAATAAGAGCTTGAATCTGTACTATTTTGGTCATCATTCACCATTAATTTTCTCATTAGTTTTCCTTTTTTTATGGTAGCTATATGGAGTGGAACCAGTTGAAAGTCCTGTTCTCTCTGGAGGCAAGCCTGGTGAGTTTAAGCTGTAATCTTTACATGGCCATGGATGATGTGCTCATCCTGGTTTTTGCCACAGGTTCCTGAAGACATATTTTTCACTGGGCATGCATCTTGTTTCCTTAAAGCAAGATCTTGTTTTGCCAAATTATTTTCATTATTATGTAGAGCACAGTCCTTCTTGACTTTGCTTTAAAATTTTGTGATTTTTTATTTGCATATGCCGATCTAAGCGTTTTTTCTCCAACATTATCAAACCTTTGCAGTTGATTACTCAGTCAATCGGGAATAATTCCTTTATAATCAGCCTTCTTAAGCATATAGGTTCCTTTTACACTGTGCCATTATTTTTGATAATGCCTTGATTTCCATGATCTAATATATTCCTTTAATGACATTCGCTCTGGTCTCCTTGTCTCTATTTATTTATTTGTTATGAGTTTAAGAATCTTTTGGTTTGCAAAATTACTAAATCAATTCTATTGTATTAATGTGAAGGTCCACATAAGATCCAAGGAATTTGTGCTGGTTTTATCCCTGGTGTTTTGGAAGTCAGTCTTATTGATGAAGTTGTTCAGGTAAGGACAAAGTGTATTTAATTTATCGCAATGCTTTTAAAAGCCAATTCTGGATTAACTTTGTTTTGTTGTTATCTGAACAAGTCTTCTTCATTGGTATGATGGTATAATATTAAAATGATTAGCCGGTTATTTTAGTGTTTTGCTAATTTTACAAAGTTTTAATAAAATTGTAATGGCCTCAAAATTTCCCTATTTTTTTAATTGCCAGTTCTTTAAATTTGCAGATATCAAGTGATAGCAATTGAAACTGCAAAGCTTCTTGCACTGAAGGAAGGCTTGCTTGTATGTTCCCAACCTTGCAAATCTCTGGGATTGGAATTTAAAACCTATACTCTTTTGCTATTTTATTTGAATTTCTGTCATCCAATCGTACACTGCCCTCCTGTCATGCTGACTTTAGAAGCTTCTTTTGCAGGTGGGAATATCATCTGGTGCTGCTGCAGCAGCTGCTATTAAAATTGCTAAGAGACCTGAAAATGCTGGAAAACTCATTGTTGTAAGTTTTATTTCTCGGCTCTTGATTTATGAAACTTTCTATTGGACCGGCTAAGGTGTTTGGTCTTATTTTGAATATTCTTGCCTTACCTACCATGAGCATCTTATATAGCCAAATTTGAACCATGAGCATGAGCATAGCCTTGAAAATCAACCTTGCTTGCCTTATGTACATTGTTAGGAGGGGGGGCCTTTGTCTAACTAACCTTGAAAATTAACCTTGTTTGCCTTATCTAACAACCATGAGCACATTACTTCTAATTTGAAGTGTTTTTTAGGTTGGAGTGACTGATTAGATTGATTGAGCAATGGAGGACAATAGAATAGGATCCATTTGAAGCAATAATCAATGGGATAATACATATCTATACGACTATACCTGTGGAGTTTTTGTATCAAGAAGAGCATGGAGTATCTTTCATTCATTTATTCCAAAATTAACATCACACTAAAATAGTTCCATTCATAAACATCTGCAGGTGATTTTCCCAAGCTTTGGAGAAAGGTATCTGTCGTCAGTGCTCTTTGAATCGGTCAGGAAAGAGGCGGAAAACATGACCTTTGAGCCATGAGCTAATTCTCTTCTTTGCAAGTAGTTCTGGTTTAATAGACAACA